CCCACTCAACTATCACCGACAGAATTTTTGCACGCCAATATGAAAAATTCGTGGAATAACCGACAGGCATCGGGTTCGCAGCATACTGAAACCAGTACACAACAGTAAGAATGTCACACCTTCTGAGACTTTTCTGGACACTGTTTATCAGTTCGGATCGTGCCACAAGGGAGGTTTGTACTTTGCTAATTAGCAAAATTCGAAATCTGAGGGATTCTTTCGCTCGAAAGGGGCTACAGCTTCCTTCGGAGGCTAAATCCTAAGCAAAAGAAAAAGACAAAACCAAAACAAAGTCCCGAATTCCATCGAGACAGTGTTTTAAGAGGTGCATACGTTTGAAACACTGTTTGTTTCTCAGTTTGAGCTAGATAAAAAAATAATACTTCGAGAGAAGATGTCAAGAATACCTTTTCGACATCGTCGAAAGCCTTGTATCCGCTTACTAACGCTTCTCGTAAAGAGGTATGAATTGGCATAATAGTGGATGACAACAAGACTTGATACCTAAAAAGAGTCCGGCATATAGTTGGGTATTCCATCAGCAAAAGTGGGCTTTATGGAAAGTCAAAGTTCTGAACTAGTATGAAGTCGGAAAGGCATGCGCAGGTCGTGGCGCATGACGCCTGCGCTGAGCGTGGGGTTCTACTTCTCTCACTCGCCCCATTAATACGTCCTTTTAGGTCAATTAATACGAATAAGAAGCATCCTCGAGGACAATAGCCATGAACTAAAAGCAGATTTTGCATCAATTACTGCTGCCATTTGAGCAAAAGTTACATGCGTGGCGGCTCCAAATGAGTGTATCAAATTTGAGCACTTCACCCTTCACGCCTGATCCAACCAAAAAGGCCAAGGACTGAGCCTTGTGAAGGACAAGGCGTGCCCCTTCCCGCATGCTACTCCAACTCCCTGCCTCTTCGTAACGTCCAGTTTTATCCTGCTAGGTCTCAAAGTCATCGTAAGCTTCAATTTAGCAATCACTTACTTTGTTTCCTTGTCAATAAGTAATTCTATCAGCGGATCGGTTATCTCTAACCTCATTGATATCGTCGCCATGTTCTGTATCTCGGCCGCGTTTTCCGCTTCCGCCTACGCTCCACATTCAATTCTGGAATGTCAATTAATTCACATAGCAAAAATGAAATCGAACTACAAAATTGATTTGTTGTGTTGTGTTGGGTGCAGTGCAGCCTGGGGGTGGCATTTTAGCTACTTCCATTGACGCGTTAACTGCTTTACAAGAGTCGACCAGTTATTTTTACAAACCCTTGAGCTGATCATCACTTATGATTAACTAGATCACAGGTTACCACTTGGTGGCTCGGCATGGCTAATGAAAACGCCCTGTCGCTTCCCCGCCCCCTCTCCGGCGAACTGCACCCAGTAATATTAACAGCAATATTAACAAAGTTAACCATGACAACAATGTCAATAATATTACGATCACATTATTTATGAAAGAGATAGCGTAGTGTGCGGGAAGAGGGTAATGCTTCCAGTAGGTTCGAAGAGGCTTCTGTGTATCTCTGCTAAGAAGTAATCACACCACTTTGTTTCTTTTCCAAAAAACACTTTGCCATTTTTTGAGAAGAACATCTGTAGAGGATCTATTGGCGCTGTTTGGTTTGGAGGGGGCATTTTGTACTTTGTCTCGGTCCTTTTATTAGTTCACGTTAGCTAACCGGTTCTACTCTATCAGACCTGTAAACTTCTGTGAAGTGTCGCTCGAGTGATCTCTTGCTACAGGAGTTTATAGATCTTTACATACAATAGTTGACGGTACAAGTTCAGCTGAACACCATTCGTTGCCCCTATCAAGCCGAACTGCGCCGATCTATCATATATCCATAGCCGGAAATAAACCCGTCAGGCGCGTAGCATACGGGGTCAACCAACCAGTCACAACTTTCGCCAACCTGTATAGATTGGGTACAGCGATAGTGTCTGTTCAAGAAATAACGCGATGTTCGTCAACATTACTAGATCAGATTTACTACGTTGATCGTGATCGACATGAAGTTTCGAGTTTCGTCTAGCCAGCATTGGAAGTTTTCCTTACGCTGTTTTCTCTTCATCTATACATTTACTTCTGAATTCGTCTATGTAGGGCCATGCATGGCCACCATGGCATCGGATGAAACTACTACTACAACGACTGTTGCAGCGACAACAACAACAACTGCTTTCAGTGAGTTAGTCTCATTATAAGTACTTTTAGGTTCTGTCGTGCAAACATATTGAGCACAATAAACCGATAGGCGCATGGGGTAATAGGCGCAGCAGAAAAGCAGGCTCAGACCTGAGCAGACGCTGCCTGGCATCATTGCTAATGAAGTTCGCTCTTTGAGCGTCCCGCCTGCTGCTTAGCATGCCGACCTCACGACCACCTAGATACACTCTTGCAACTAGGTGGCAGCGGCCACCATTCGCAGGAATGCGGGCCGTCACGGTCGGATCAGCTATTTCCCCCCCCCCTCCCCTACCCTCCGTCCACCCTGCTTTGCTGTTGTGGCATTTTTTCACTTCTCAAGAATTCCTTCTGAGAGTAAGTAGTTATGGATCATAAAAATATCTTACTTACTATTAGACACATCGCAATGTCCTTCCGGAAGTATTACTAGCTTTTCTTGGAGTTTTAGACCTATTGAAAGGCATAAAACGTATTAGGCGGGAGGTGGTATAGTGACAAGTGGCGCGCTCACCACTCGCGCGATCCTGGGCCCAAAACCCGGATCAACTCCCACACAATCCAACTAGGCCTTACACCCAGGGGGACGGTAAATTGGTACCAGATTCGTCTGGGAGGATAAAACACTGACTTGTACATCGGCTGGCCCCGCAAGTCATTGTATAGGCCACATCGCATTCAATAAGCCACTACGATTCTGAATGGAAGTAGAATGCGTGCCGCATCCCACAAAGGGATTGATCAACGGCGAAGACTTTATCCTTTATCCTTTAAATACTGTAATCTGGTACGAGTCTGATATGGTAGCCGAGGTGTTTGTGGGATGGGATATGGTGGGGAAAATGGCGAAAAGCGAAGTCAAACGGAAAAGATTATTTTTCCTGCACGTCTTGGGGATTCATTGTGCCATTTGCTTTCAAGGGTTCTTGTAGCTGTTTTTTTCTCGACCCCGGAATATTCTTTTTTTTTGCCATTATGCGTTTCTTTACCTTTTGTTGAAAAACAAAGTGATACTGTCTGCACGAGTTTTGCCATGAATTGTACAATCTATCCTTGCTGCGATTTGTCGTGATATTTCCGCATGGCCATGACTGGACCACCCACGATATTCCTCGAGCGTATGCTTGTACTATTCTTTCTTGAAGCTGTTGATCAAACCCCTACTTGAGCGCCTCCGGTCAGAATTATGCCTCCACTTACCGCAGTAATTTATTTATTTATTTATTTATTTACAATGCATCCATAGGACGCGCTACAGCAACAGACATGGATCACCAGTTAATGTTCACAGCAAAGGTATGAGCAAGAAAACTAATATTGATGGAAAGATTTCAATGCAGTCGCTGAAAATGATAAAAAAGAAGAAAGGGAAAGCGGATATGGTTTGGCAGTCAAGCAGACCTGAACCCCTGATTTGTACTTGTTGAACTGGACCGTGGAATGCATTCACAATATTGCAAGGAGCATAATGTCAGAACCTTTGGAAATGATCCCCCCTTTTTTTTAACGAACGAAATTATTAGAAACCATTCTATTGCTGCATCAGTCTTACGCTCGGGCGAGTGCCGCTTTTTATTCCAGAAAATAAACAGAGTATGCATAGAGTACTATGGATTTAATGCAGTAGGTGATGTCAGAGGTGGCTCCACATCCAGGATGAACCCAAAACGAGAACTCGATGTTCCACTCGCACCTCGATTCACCGGGGTCAGTTTTAATTAAACGTGCAACCGCATGAAGCGATCGGATGGTGATGAGGCGGTGGCCGTAATTTGAGTGGTCCAGACAGATGCTTCCTGGCCACGATAACATCAGATTAGGTAAGAATGATGCAAGGTTTTCATATATGATATCGCATGGGATTATAAGAGATTATTTGAATTATAGATATCAATTTTTTGAAAGCAAAAATTGCAACTTGCATGTATTAATTTGGACTGAGTGACCAGAGTTGAGGGCAGTACTCTATATCAAGCGCTAACATTAGTGTGTGATATGCATAAGCGTCATTGTGCAGAGACGTAAAAGAAAATCATGCACGCATAATTATTAGGTTGTCCGGAAAGTTCTCAGCGTTTTGGGTGTTTCACTTTAAACGATCGTAACTTTTTAATACTCATCGGATTTAATCGAAATAGGCACCATTCGAATCAGCACACTTTTGCCAATGTGACAGCAATTCGATAAATCTCATCAAAGAAAAAAAATAAATGGTCGCAGAATCCACTTAAATCACGAAGGCTTTTTTGCCTGGTCCTGATTGATGAAGTATTTTCCAGCAAGGAAGTTCTGAAAATGTTTGAAAAGGTGATAGTCGGTTGGTGAAAGGTCTGGAGAATATGGCGGGTGAGGTAGAACTTCAACTCCTTCATTTTATGGATAGTGATTTGTGACGTGTGGGCGGGCGTTGTCATGCAAAAGAATCGGACCCTTTCTGTTGACAAGTGCTGGCTGCAGCTGACGCAATTTTCGGTACATTTCGTCGATTTCTTCACAGTAGGACTCTGCTGTGATGGTTTGGCCTGGTGATAAAAAGTTATAGTGGATCACACCAGCCGATGACCACCAAGCTGACCAGAATTTTTTTTCGTGAGGGTTCGGCTTTGAAACATTGCCCGTCGGGTGGTTCGTCGGCATCCAACCACTGTCCGGAACGTCTCCTGTTATCATACATGATCCACTTTTCATCACAGGTGACAATTCGGTCCAAAACGGGTCGTTTCTGTTGCGCAAAAGCAGTGAAGAAGAAACCTCGAGACGTCCAATTTCTGCGGGTCACTCTAAATTGTGGGGGCATCCACTTGTCGGAGTTTCAATCCTTCGCCAATGCAATTTCCAGACCCTCCACAACAGTGGATTGCCAACGCCTAAGCTTTTCTTTGCATATCTCTCGAAGCTGTTGTGGGTTTATGCGTGTAGTCTTTCAAATCTTCGTGCAGCTATTGCTTATAGGTCGACCGCTACGAGGTTCATCTGTCAAGATTGAATATCTCAGAACGAAATGTGTCGACGGTTACTCTGGTACTTTCTAGCTATTGATCGCACGATGCTTTTTTCCAGACACATTGGGCCCCACTGCTCGTTAATATGTCGAGCTGTTTTCGACTGCAGGCATTGACGCCACATTTGCAGTTGTAAGAAAAATATCGTCCGAAGTTGCTCTTTTGACATGCTTCAAAAAGTCTTGGAAAAGGGGAGTTTATCAAGCAATGGTGAAACGGCAGTTATACCATCAGATAGCGCGATACAATTTTCTGCAACGGCAAACTCAAAGGTTTTTTCTTGGAGTTTCCTGAAAAGGGTTTAGGGTTTATTCTCTCATACGAAGTTTATTGTATTCTTACTCATCATGTTACAGCTTGCGCAGCTGCTTGCCCGTCTCCCTACCGAGAGGGATGCAACGGTCTTGAACGGCGAAGAATATGCCCCACCGCAGCTGAAGCATGGTAATGGTAATAATGGAAGTGACAACATGTCGGTCAGTGACAGAAATAATCAGGAAGTCAATCAACAATAGAGAAAAAACATCTGTTGTGGCAGTGTTTTTACCGGTAGATGCACAAGAGAATCTTAAGGCGCCGCACAGTTGCCCGAATTTTGGCGACTGTCATTGTTAGTGGGAGGAGTCCTTTTGAGTTAAGGAGAATGAAGCGCTGTTCGGTGACGGGGAGGGGCAATTTGGGCTCTGCTACTCTCCATCGACGTGTCGACCCATCTAAAATCCTACTTCGAGTTGACAGGATTTTACATGTAAGCTGACGAGCTTGCTCAGCTTCACAGGAGGTCCACAGCGTTTCACTAGAGTGAGACTTTGTAAACCGGAACTAGTGAAGAAACAAAAATGCAAAATGCCCCCCCCTCCCCGTCG